CTGGGGAGGAGGATAGAGAAAACAGTGCAACAATGAATGAATGAGAACCCAAAATCTCTGTAAATGTTCATTAAAACTAATAAAATTTAATAATAATTTAAAAAAAGAGGAGCAAATGGATTCATTCACACCAAACCATAACGATTAATGAGTTAATATTCTCCCCAGAATCTGACAGAGATTACTTCCTGACAGAGTTGCCTACCAATAATCCCTGGGCCAAATCTCTCAAATGCACAGCATACCTTTTTTAACATATCTGGATGCATAATTTTATAACTAGAAGTTTAAAATTCTTTTGCATATAATGGAGAGTTTTTTGTGGGATATAGAATAATTTTTCTTTGATAATAAGGACAAAAATATTCTTTCTTTACTCTATATGCTTTGAATGTTATGCAGCCATTTTGAACCAAGTTGCACCCATATGACAGCTGATTGGCCTGGGTCCTTGATAATGTTGGAATCACTATATAAGCCTTGGAGTACCCTCCTTTATTTACATGAGGGGGAAACGCCTGCTCATATTTAGCAAATTTTTAGAGGGTCTTTTACTCACAAGATAACAATACTAATTGAGTTGGGTGCTTCGTCTCTTGTATTTTGGACACATTGCCACAGTGGTTTCTGGCAAAGGGCATAAGTGAACAAGGGGCAAACCCTCAATGAGATGAACTGACATAGTGATGAGAGCAATGGGCTCGGACATTGCAACGGTTGTGAAGACAGTGCAGGATGGGACAGTGTTGCCTTCATTGGCCCGCAGGATTGTTGTAACCCAGAACTGACTTGATAGCACAGAGCAGCAACAACAATAACAAATGAGATTTGGCATAGGCCAAAATAAATTCTAATGGTGGTATTTCGAATATTTCAGTATTTTATTTTTCCTTAGTTTGATGAATCATTTTATTTGAGAGAATCTAGATCTACTCATTCAAAATTTCAAAATTGATTTATTGAATATACACTTTGCTTGTAATTTTCTTTCCTTCTTTCCTTCTTTCTTTCTTTCTTTCTCTCTCTCTCTCTCTCCTCTCTCTCTCTCACACACACACACACACACACACACACACACCCCTATCTTGTAAATCACACAGATATACACACACTCCTGGAATGAATTAATCTGAATCTATGTTAATTCACAACATTTCTTCCTATTCCAATTTACTGACTCTATTAAAAAAAACTTTCATTTCTTTATGTGACTTTGTGATTCTGGTACTAGGACTCTGACTATTCTAGTTTTTGCTTCTAGCCTAAATGCTAAGAAAATAAATTCCTGTTCATTAAAGCTGTCACTTGTCTTTCTGTTACATTGTTGTTAGGTGCTATCAAGTCAACTACAGCTCATAGCGGCCTTTATGAACAATAGATCAGAACCTTTTCCTGTTCTGTGCCGAATAGTCATTGTGTTAATCTATCTTGTCAAAGGTATCTTACAGCAGCCATAAATAACCAAGATACAAATTCTAGGCCCTTTCTACCAGACATCACCCAGCCAGTCTGTACCTTTTCCTCATAAGTCTGATTTCTAGCTCCAAGTTTCTCTAAGTCTCTGAATTTTAATAACTCAACCCACCTTTCCCCTTTAGACCTTCAACCCTATTAGCTACCACCTCCCTTGTATAGTCATGTTTTCTTTCCCATGTCATCCTTGTGCAGGGGCCATGCTAATATTCTCTGTATAGTTCCAATTTTAGCACATGTGCTGCTGAAGTGAGCACGGCAATGTTCTGTTTTACACTTGTTACTTACTCAGTCAATAAATTTATTCCTAGTTAACCAATATTTATAGTAAATATCTCTGTTTAAATAACTAAAATTGCTTTTTGTCCCCTGATTGAGACAATCATCCTCAGAATAGAAGTAGTAAAAACTCTACCATGTGTATTTACATATGGCTCTAGTACTACAAGAGATGCAGTTCAAATCTACCAGCTGCTCCATGGACAATCTTCCCTCATGCAATTTATAGCCTCTAAAAACACACTGGAGGTTCAGCATTGAGTTGGTTCTGACTTGATAACACAGAACAATTACTTTGCAGTAAATATAAATAAAATATGTTTTGTAGTGTCTTGGAAAATAACAAGGTATTTATCTTAACATTCAAGCCTTGACTCATTCAGACGCCCCCCAAATCATATTTTTTATAATTTTTACACCATCACCAAGTTTTAATAGCTAGAAAATTTTGCTCTTTCTTTTGCCATTAACTGAATTTAATCACAAGGGGAAGCCTAGCACCCTAAATATATTCGTATTTCCTTATGTTTTACATGGAAAACTCTGATGGCATAATCCATAAGGAGTTTTGTGCTGCTATCCCAAACAGAGCAAAGGAATCACTGCATGATTCAAAATGAGGAAAGGAGAGCATCTGGAAAGTGTCTTATCTCCATACTTTTTCAATCTATATGTGGAGCAGATCATTCAAGAGCCCGGTCTTTATGAGGAGGAATGTGGCATCAGGATTGGAGGAAGACTCATAAACAACCTGTGTTATGGTGATAATACAGCCTTGCTTGCTAAAACTGAGCAAAGCCTGAAGGTGAAGGACTGTAGCAAGCAGTATGGATTAAAGCTCAACAAAGATTCTCAGCACTGGGCCGATTGGCAGAATCATGAAAGATGGAAAAAAGATTGAGATTGTTAACTATTTCAGCTTGATTATTTCCATAATCAACATTTTGGCACTACCAGTCGGAATCAAAAGGCAAATTGCTTTAGGAAAATCTGCCATCAGGGACCTCTCCAGAATGTTACAGAGCAACGATGTCAATCTAGAGACTAAAGTGCACCTGATCCAGGAAGTGGTCTTCACAATTTCTTTTTATGCATCAGAGAGATGGACAATGACCAAAGAGGACAGAAAAAGAATTGATACCTTTGAGTTGTGGTGCTGGAGAAGAGTATTGAACATATATAATGGACTACCAAGAGAACAAACAGGTCTTCCTGGAGAGGATGAAGCCAAGTTGCTCCTTGGAGACAAGAATTTTGAAGCTGAGTCTCACATACTTTGGGGACGTGGCCGAGAGGGACCAGTCCTTGGAGAAAGACATCATATTTGGAAGGGTAGAAGGACAGTTCAGGAGAAGATGACGCTGGATGAAATGAAATGGTATAGTAGCTGGGAGAATGAAGGTAGGTGTGTCAGAATTGAGACTGGCTTAGGATAGAGCAGAGTTCAGAACTAATGTGTATAGGGTGTCTGTGAGTCATGATTGAGTTGATGGCACATAACAACACCAATCTCAATGTTTGAGACTCTCTGGTGCTTTGAATCCACTAATGACTTTACAGAACAAAGATTAGAAATCTCCTCTTATGCAATTTACAGACTTGGAAACCCAATAGAGGGTCAACTATGTGTCTGTTCTGACTTGACAACAATAATAGCAGTATATTTTATATGTCATCCTCTCGTGTTGTCATAAAGCCACTCTTTGAAATAGAGAATCAAAGTAAAGGGATCATATTTGTAAACAAAGACTAGCCCAGAAGAACTGGGAGTTCTTGTCATTTTAGTT